CCTCCCCTTTACCCCCTAGCCCCGACCACCAAGGCTCTTGGTATGTGATATTTTCCATCCTGTTCCAATTTTTCCATAGCTCCAATTTCTCCCAACCTATGACCTGAGAAGCAGTGCCGGCCTGTTTGTTTTTTCGTGTCTTATGATAGTTTGCTGGAGATAAAGGGTTTTCAGCTTCATCACCTGTCCACCCTACAAGGCACGCAACTGAGCACATCCTTCTTTTATGCTGCCATAGTATCCTCAATGGTGGTCTGTTCCACATTTCTTTTTTTTTTTTTTTTTTTTTTTGAGACAGCCAGTCTCGCTTGTCGGCCCAGGCTTGGAGTTGCCTCCGTGTGTGACCTCGGCTCACTGCAACGTTCTCCCTCCCTGGTTTCATGCCATTTCTCCTGCCCTCCAAGCCTCCCCGGAGTAGCCTGGGGACTACAGCACCCCGCCACCCCCCAGCCCTGGCCTAATCTTTTGTTATTTTCCACGTAGAGAACGGGTTTCACGCGCATGTTAGCCAAGGCTCGTTCTCTGAATCTCTGGCAACCTGTGTGATCCGCCCCGCCGTGCCTCCCAAAGGCTGGGCTTACAGATGTGCAAGCACCACGCCCAAGCCATGTGCCCACATTTTCCTATTTCTAGTCTTATTCATTGAAGGATCAATCTGGGCTTGGTTTCCAAGTTGGTTGCTATCTGTGAAAGTAAGTGCCCCACAATAAACACATACATGCGCATGCGCCTGTCTATATAGCAGGGCACTGTATAATACTATTCGGTCTATAACCCCCCAGAACAGGGCCGGATATGCCTGGGTCAAATGTACTTTCCAAAGCGTAATTGCTTATTCCATTCCTGCTATCTTTATTATTTCTGCTTAGGTCTTCCTTATTTTCTTCCTCTTCCTAGCTCCTGTGTTTATTCTACTTTTTCTTTCTTTTTTTTTTTTTTTTTTTGAGGTGGAGTCTCTCTCTGCTACCCGCCCCAGTTGGAGTGAGTGGCCCGATCTCAGCTTCACTCGCAACCTCCGCCTCCGCCGTTTACGCCATCGCTTCGCATGGCCTCAGCCCCTCCGCCGAGTAGCTGGGACTTACAGGCGGCCGCACCCCTATCGGCCAGCTAGTTTTTTATGGTTATTTTTCACGTAGAGAGGGGTTTCACCGTGTTAGCAGTGGATGGCTTCTCGATCTCCCTCTGGACCTCGTTGATCGCCCCCGTCCTGGCTCCAACCCCTCAGCTGGCTGGGGTATTACTACGGCTTGAGGCCACCAGCCCCGCGCGGCCCTGCTATCCACTCCACTCCAGCCTGGGCGACACAGCGAGACTTGGTCTCCAAAAAAAAAAAACAACAACAACAACAACAAAAAAGAAGAAGTAAAAAGGATTATAACAGACTACTATGAGCAATTATACTCCAACAAAGTGATTAACCTATAAGACATAAATAAATTCCTAGAAACAAACAACTTACCAAGACCAAATCATGAATAAACAAAAAATCTGACTAGACCTATAACTAGCAAGGAGATCAAATCAGTCATCAAACTTCCCAATAACAACAATACAGGGGAGCCACATGACTAAGCCTGACAACTGACCACCACACCTAAGGGTCACCTACTAGATCATGCCCAAAGCTTCAACACTAAAATATCTCACTAACATACCCTCATTAAACCAAAGACAAGTCAGCTACAAATAAAGACCCTGCACAAAGCTGCAGCCCTGCGAAAACATCCAGAAAAGAAGTCTATTTATTGATTGAACTCAAGCTACACTCCCATATGCAGAGATGAGAAAGAACCAATGCAAGAACTACAGTAACTCAAATGGACGGAATTTCTTATGTCCTTCAAATAATCACACTAGTTCTCCAACAAGGGTTCTTAACCAAAATGAGTTAGCTACAGTGACAGAGATATAATTCAGTATATGGATAGAACGGAATTTCACTGAGATTCAGGAAAACAGTAAAACTTAAACCAAGGAAACTAAGAATCACAGTCAAAGGATACAGGAGGTGACAGACAAAACAGCCAGTATGAAAAACAACCTAATGGACCTAACAGATCTAAAAAACACTATAAGAGTTTCACAATGCAATCACAAGTATTAACAGCAGAATAGATCAAGCTGAGGAAAGAATCTCAGGACTTGAAGACTGGTTCTCCGAAATAAGACAGTCAGACAAAACTAAAGAAAAAAGAATGAAGAGCAATGAACAAACCTCCAAGAAACAGGGGACTGTATAAAGAGGCCAAATGTAGGAATCACTTGCATCCTTAGAAGAGACAGGGAGAAAACAAACAACTTGGAAAATATATTTCAGGATATCATCTATGAAAAGTTCCACAACCTTGATAGAGCCCAAAAGTCAAATTCCCTTGAAGTTCTACACCCAGATTGGGAGGCTGTTCTAATTCCTAGTGTTGCACAATACATATAGGAAGGGATAAGTTAGGAAGCCCCGGGGAGGCCAGGCAGGCTGGAGGAAAGGCACACATCCTGACCCTTTCTCTTTCCCCATAGCTGTCCATTGCCCCAAGAGGACATGTCCTGCCTGAAGCTGGGAGTATTTTCTCTCTCTAAGATCCAAAAGTTAAGGAAATGGGTTAATTCCAGTACCGGGGTCAGTTCTTTCTTGGGAAGAGCCTCTTTTTAGCTATGAAGATACATCTCCAGTCAGGAGGCCTACTTATGCATTAGCAGCCTGTTCACAGCCTTGGTTGCCGTCTTGATGCATTTTGACCAGTTGGGGGCGCTCATTCCCTGTAAATGTTGTAGTAGTCTCCAAACCTGCCTTTTATTTCCTTATTTGCTAAGCTACTGTTATGTCATTGTAACAGAGACATTCCCTCTTTGTCAGAAATATTCATCATAAGAAAGGAAAAGGAGTATTTTATAAAAGAGTTTCTGAAAAACCTAGAACTTTTATTGAACTTCTGCTTTCATTTGTGATTTTGTACTCTTAAGGGGAAAGTGATGGGTAAAACCCACAAGAGAACTGAAAACAGGTGTGTGAAGAGTCAGTGCAGGCTAATGATGAGTGAAGAAGAGAGCACGGTGCCGATTTCTAGAGGAAGAGGAAGGAAACTAATGTGATATGGGAGTGAAAAATGGGATACAGAAAAGCAGGGAGGAAAGGGGAAAGTGTGTCAGCTCCCAGAACCAGCAAAGATGTATATTTTACTTAAGTTTAGGAGACTACCTTCATATGGGAGTGTACTCTGGAATTCTGAGAGCCAGGAAACGAATGTGCCAGGTGCCAGAATCAGTTAACCATCAACACGTGTATTCTGCACTTCACTCTAGATGCTGCTCCTCTGTCAGGTATTTCTACAAGCCACCATTTCCTGACTGAAAGTAAATAGGACTTTGAAATGAGGTGAGAACATTTTTCAGCCTCTTTAGAATTCATGACAGAATTCTGTTTTTTGTTTTTTAGGCTGCCTAAAAAAATATATGCAAGCAGAATGGAATTTCAATGTAAAATAATTTCTTGTGATTTATACCTGATGTGTAAATTTTGTATTGGGATTTCCTAAATAATTATTAATCTCCTTTTTTCCCCAATTATACGCAACCATCTCCTGCTCTCTGAGGAGATGTTGCATTTTCAGCTGATTTTGACCAACTTTCTTCCTTTCTGTTTTTTTGACATTGCTTTAAGTCCTGGAATACATGTGCAGAATGAGCAGATTTGTTACATAGGTATACGTGTGCCATCGTGGTTTGCTGCACCTATCAACTCGTCACCTAGAATTTAAGCACAATTTTTTTTCAATCCCGTCTATCATTGATGGTCATTTGGGTTGGTTTCTTGTCTGTGCTATTGTAAATAGTGCTGCAATAAACATACACGTGCATGTATTTTTATAATAGAATGATTTATATTTCTTTGGGTATATACTCAGCAATGGGATTGCTGGGTCATATGGTATTTCTGGTTCTGGATCCTTGTTGAATTGCCACACTGTCTTCCACAATGGTTGAACTAATTTACATTCCTACCAACAGTGTAAAAGCTTTCCTATTTTTCCACAGCTTCACCAGCATCTGTTATTTCCTGACTTTTTAATAATCGCCATTCTGAGTGGCATGAGATGGTATGTCATTGTGGTTTTGATTTGCATTTCTGTAATGATCAGTGATGTTGAGCTTTTCTCATGTTTATTGGCCACATAAAAGTCTTCTTTTGAGAAGCATCTGTTCATGTCCTTTGCCAAGTTTTTGATGGGGCTTTTTTTTTTTTGTAAATTTGTTTACGTTCTTTGTACATTCTGGATATTAGACCTTCGTCAGATGGGTAGACCGCAAAAATTTTCTCCCATTCTGTAGGCTGCCTGTTTGCTCTGATGATTGATAGCTTCTTTTGCTGTGCAGAGGCTCTTTAATTAGATGCCATTTGTCAATTTTAGCTTTTGTTGCAGTTGCTTTTCGTGATTTCATCATAAAATCTTTGTCCATGCCTATGTCCTGAACGCTATTGCCTAGGTTTTCTTCTAGCGTTTTTATGGTTTTGGGTTTTACATTTAAGTGTTTAATCCATCTTGAGTTAATTTCTGTATAACGTGTAAGGAACAGGTCCAGTTTCAGTTTTATGCTTATGGCTCTCCAGTTTTCCCAGCACCATTTATTAAATAGGGAATCTTCTCCCCATTCCTAAAGTATTGAGAAAGAGAATCTCTTTTCCAGTTTCTGATTTTATTTTATGAAAGAAATGTGTCAGTTTTTACTGATATTTAACAGAATTAATCAAAATTTTGATCAATTACTATTGTAAATAATTTTATATATTATGCTTTAAATATATAAAAATTAAATGTATTAATATGATTTACCAATGCATCACATTTATGAAAATTATTCAGTGACATATATTTTCAAAAGGGAAACACTATGCAGATAAAAGATAATTCACATTTTTGGAGAGTGCAACCTTATTACTTCCCTCCATTGCAAAGGCAGATCTCTCACAATTTTCTATATGTGTTATCTTGATTTTCTTTTCTGATTCACTCCTCTACCTACCCCAATATGGCTTCTGCTGATTAATTCTATCAATACAGCTCTCAGTAAGCTCTGCACTGCCATCTCTTTTCTTGCTGTAGTGCTCAGTTTTAACTCATATTTTCCATAAGTCTGTTGATTCTTTTTCTAAGCACATTTATTTTCTAAATACACTTTTATCACCATTCCCTCTTGCCCTTCTGATATTAAGGTATTCCACTTCTGTTTTCTTTGTGTCTCTTCTGTTCCCACACTTAAACGTTGGAATGTCCTCAGAATCCAGTTTAAGTCTTTTTTTCCTTCTCCACTTGCTCCCCACATGACAGCCTTCATTTTTGGCCTTTCCATTGCCAGTTAGGAATTTCCAGATATGGTATTCCTTGAAAACTGCAAACTCATTTATCTGACTGGCAATGTACCTTTTCAATTACATGTTGAAAGTCAGTTTACAGAGAATATCTCTGCTTTTAATTCCAGACATGTCTCAATCTACCTTCTGCTAAGAGGAATTCATTGTTTTTTTACTTCTTCATATTTCAGCAGTTAGCATAACTGATATTAATTCAGCATTATTATTGTTTTTAGATTTCTTTCTGGACAAAAATCAAAGATACAAGAGAACAGGAACTGTAGTTTTTATGCTCACGTTTATATCTTGAAGTCAACATATAACCTGGTATAGAAAAATATATTGTTCTATAACTTGAATAAAATTGATAGTTAACTTAATTAAATCATCTATTTTTAAGTCAAGGTGTACAGTCAGGGTTGGTGTTTTATCTTAAAGAATAAACAAACACAAGAAATTTTGTGTAGTAAAAATTTAATGAAAAAGAAATTAATATATTGGCTACATAAGAAGAACATATATTGTTACATTAACCACAATGTAAAGGTACACATATTACATAAAAATAATTTAAATCTTAAAAATATTTAAATAAATAAATATTTAAATAAATAGATGAACAGAGACATCAGCACGGTCTTCTGTAAAGGACTAGTGCCTGCACAGATAAACACGATGTTTCTTTACACTTCTGAAAACATTTGAAAATTTGGATTCAACTCGTGGTGGTTATAGGAGAAATGAGTCTTTGAAATGGAAGAACTCATGAAAGTGTGAGATGACATGTCCGTCAATGAGGATCATTTCCATGTTGAACCAGTTTTCAATCCTTCCTCCTTAATCTTTTTTGCAAGTTTGTTGAAAAAGAGAGGGATCTCATGATTTCTGCTCTGACAACCTCCCAGGCACATGGGCTGTATTTCTTCTCCGTCAGATAGAGAGTGATTCTTTGGAAGTATTTCTTCACAGCCAGGATGGAGTCCACATTCATCAAGGGAGTCTCTTCCATCCCAGGCTCTGCTATCACACAGGCTTTCAGGTCATTCAGTTGCTGGTAAAGTCAGTGGAAAATTTTTCTAGGAGATTCTGTTCCCAAGTAGCAGATGAGTCCTTTGTGCTGAAGAGATTGAAGGTCTGCTGGATCATCTCATGGAGGACAGAGATGGCTTGAGCCTTCTGGAACTGGTTGCCATCAAACTCCTCCTGGGGGAATCCAAAGTCATGTCTGTCCTTCAGGCAGGAGAAAGGAGAGATTCTTTCCATTTGTGCCAGGAGTATCAAGGCCCTCCTATGACCCAGGCTGTGGGTCTGAGGAAGATCACAGCCCAGAGAGCAGATGGATTTGTAGCTGAGCACCACCACGGCCATCAGTAAAGGAAAGGACAGGGCCATTGGGATGTTGCAAATATTGCTAGGCTACGTGAGGTGGGTAACCTTGAACCTTGGCCTCTAGGTTTTCTGAAGACTTTGCTCTGTGCATGAGTCTTAAATAGTGAACATACTAATTTCCATTTTCTAAAGGCTCTAGTTTTACTTTCTATCTCTGTTTTTGCTTTCTTTATGGACTCTCTACATACGTTTAAAGATGCTTTTCATTTTTTTTCATCATTGCCTACTTTTCCCCTGCACTCAAAGCCTTTTATGGTATTTTTTTTCTGATTGAAATCTTCATAAAATTTTAATAACACAGATTTGGCATATCTATTTATGTATACTGTGTAAAACTCTACTTCACAGATAAAGACTATAAAGTTTGCTCTTTTTATTTGATGTAAAGTTAAGAATGACAGAAAAGTTAACCTAAAATCTAAGTTTAAAAGCTATTGACATTTAACCTAATTTGATGAGTATAATTGTAGAATAACTTTTAATGTAATTTGTTCATGTAAATATTATTGTATCAAATTACATATGCAAAATGAAAATCTATATAAATACACATTAATCATATGAATGTAATGACATACCTAATCATTCAAAATTCCAAAAAAATGAACCAGTTGTTTAAAATTTTTCTCACAGTATATGAAGCTTTGAATTTTGCTTTATACGAGAAAATAATTTGTAAACTTCACTAGCTGCAATATTAATCCAGATATTGCCAACACATTTTTCTTTTCAGCACTTGACATACATATTGATGTGTTGTATAACTTTAGCAGAAATAAATCATATAATATAAGGTATTTGCAATGAATTCTCAAAGTCTACAAAACATCCTGAAGAACTGAGGAGAAAACATAAGTAATAACCATAAGACAGTCAATGGCAGCCCAAAGGTATGCAGGTTACATCCATATATTGTGATAAGACTTTAAGACCCAGCAAAAAAATGGACAAAAAGTCCTCCAATCACAGTCATCTATTTGACATAGGTTTTTAACACTGATCTTGCAAATATTTTGTGTATCTTCATGAACTCAATATCAGTGCTTCTCATGTGATACACAACAAAACCCAGTGAGAAAGATGAATATTAAGCAATCAAATTTTGTTGGATAGAGTTGTTGGAGGTCACAAGCTGTTGTAATATGTCAGACTTGTTTATACTATGAGAACTAATTTTTGTACCCTTCAAAGAAGTATCATTCCAATAAACATATGTGACTTAGAAAATATTATCAATTAAATCATTTTGGCATTTTTCATCGAAGTTCAAATTCCCTAAAGGTTTTCAGAAGTTCCTAACCAAGTCAATTCTAATCGAATAAAAAAGATCATCTTTGTTCTAAATTCATAAATTTATAAATATTGAATATTATCATGTAAAGAATTAACTTTCAGTGTGGTCCTGAACTCTGACTCTAACTTTTTATTTTGTATAAGAAGTTAGTTTGTCTCAGCCCTATAGAGGCTGAGTCCTCAAATGGAATGAGCTCTGCTTTAGCCAATCAGCTATTTAGTAAGTGGAGTTTTTACTAGTTTCTCATTTTTTCTTCTACTAGGAAGTGTTCAAGAATGAGGCTATTTTGCTTCATCATGGCCATATTTGCTGGGATTATAATAGACAATGACAAAAATGTCCATTCAGCTCTTATTGAGAGTCAATAATGCCCATGTAGTTTATTGCTAAAACCACTGGGATTCTAGTTTTTTTAAGGTGCATGTAGATCTAGGGATTCCAATTGCAAGAGCAGCACAATATCATCCTCTGCCCAGCACTATATTAACCATTTATGACTTCATCTCTGATCTGCCCTCTACTTTGTTATAATTGAAAATAACTAGCCTGTTGTCAAATACAGATTCACATATCTAAATTCAAACTCTCCAATTCACACAGTTTATAGGAATCAGACAAATTAGTATTCCCAAAAGTAGGGAATAATAGCCTCTGTCCCCCAGATAATCCTACAGCTTTCCTTCCCTGGATCAAATCCCCAGAATGTGTATGTGAACTGTAAATACTTGTGACATCATTTTTCCATCATTTACAAATTTCAGCTTCAAATCATGTGATAATCTTTAGAAGACACTAGTAGAAAATGAGCCTGTTTATATACAGGTAGAGATTATGAAATGGATCAATTTTAGAAAATAACCACATTTTAGAAATTTAGAAATTTTAGAAACAAACACATTTTATTATTCATTATTTTAAATGATTCATTTAAATTCTTCATATCATTGAACAATTAAAATATTATACATTGTGAAATGTGCACCGGGGTTTCCATAATAAAGGAGTCTTCATTTCAGAAACGTGTATTTTATACATTAATTTAGTAGTTTATCCAGTCAACAAGCTTGTATTGAATTTTGGGCTCATCCTTATTATCAGACTCTGAGAATACAGGGCAAGTTTGCCCAAGTTATTATTCTTAGTCTTTAAAACACTGAGGGAGAGAGTATTTTTTCTTTTTTCACTTGAGATTGTATTGGGAATTTTTGCATACACATTTTTATGTAGTGTTTTACTGTGAAAATTTGTTTATATTTTGATTTCTTTGATTTTTATATTCAGGTTAGTGTCGATGAAACAATATAAATATAATTTTTAAATGGGCTATACAGTGGTTCTATGTGGCATTCACAACAACAAATATATTTATATTTCTCACTTCACTTTTCCTAAAAAGTGAAAGTGGTCTGATTTTTCATCTTAATTTGTGGGAACAAAAAGAAAACAAATGTATGTCTAAATGTGATAAACCTGTAAGAGGAGAAATACCTAATGTAAATGATGAGTTAATGGGTATAGCAAACCAACATGATACATGTAGGGCTATTTAACAAACCTGCACGCTTTGCACATGTGCCCTAGAACTTAAAGTATAATAAAAGAAAAGAATGACCAGAAGGGAACTTAGAAAATATCTTGAGACAGATGAAAATGAAAATACATCTTACCAAAACATATGTGATGCAGTGAAAACAGAGCTAAAGGGGATACTGAAAGCTTTAAAAGCTTATATTAAAAAAGAAGAAAGGCTTCAAACCAATGAACAAATTTCACAAGTTAAGGAAGTAGAAAAAGAAAAAATAAACACACAGCTAGGAAGAGGAAGAAAATAAGAAAGATGAAATTTTATTAATAAGAAATTAATAAAATACAGAATAGAAAAGCAATTAAAAAATCAATGGAACTAAGCGTTAGTGTTTGAAAGGATCATTTGAAAGCTATAAAAGCTTATATTAAAAAAGAAGAAAGACCTCAAACCAATGAACTAACTTTAAAAGTTAAGGAACTAGAAAAAGAAGAAATAAACACATAGCTAGGAAGAGGAAGAAAGTAAGAAAGACGAAATAGCTTATAAAATATCTTGAGTGAGATGAAAATGAAAACACAACATACCAAAATGTATGTGATGCTGTGAAAACAGCTAAAGAGGAAACTGAAAGCTATAAAAGCTTATATTAAAAAAGAAGAAAGACCTCAAACCAATGAACTAACTTTACAAGTTAAGGAAGTAGAAAAAGAAGAAATAAACACATAGCTAGGAAGAGGAAGAAAATAAGAAAGATGAAATTTTATTAATAAAGAAATTAATAAAATACAGAATAGAAAAGCAATTAAAAAATCAATGGAACTAAGCGTTGGTCTTTTGAAAGGATCAACAAAATTGACAAACCCTGAAGTGTATTAAGAGATAAGTAGAGAAAAATCAAATAAAAATCAGAAATAACAGAGGACACATAACAACTGATGGCATAGAGGTAAAAAGGATTGGCCGAGCACGGTGGCTCACGCCTGTCATCCCAGCACTTTGGGAGGCCGAGACAGGCGGATCACGAGGTCGGGAGATCGAGACCATCTGAGCTACCACAGTGAAACCCCATCTCTACTAAAAATACAAAAAGAAATTAGCCAGGCTTGGTGGCGGGTGCCTGTAGTCTCAGCTACTCAGGAGGCTGAGACAGGAGATGGCCTGAACTCTGGAGGCAGAGCTTGCAGTGAGTGGAGATCTCGCCTCTGCACTCCAGCCCAGGCGACAGAGAGAGACTCCGTCTCTAAATAAATAAATACATACATACATAGATAGATAAATAAGTAAAAAGGATTATAACAGACTACTATGAGCAATTATACTCCAACAAATTGATTAACCTGGAAGAAATATATAAATTCCTAGAAACAAACAACTTACCAAGACCAAATTGTGAATAAACAAAAAATCTGACTAGACCTATAACTAGTAAGGAGATCGAATCAGTCATCAAACTTCCCAATAACAAAAACAACAACAACAACAACAGCAAAATATAATCGGATGGCTTCACTGGATAATTCTATCCAACATTTAGGGAATTAACACCAATCTTTCTCAAAATCTTCCAAAAAATTGAAGAGGAAGGAATAGTTTCAAACTCATTTCATGAGACGAGCATTTCCCTGATGTCAAAGCCACACAATGATACTGCAAGAAAACTACAGATCCATTTCCCCGATAGATATTGATACAAAAATCCTCACTAAAATACTTGTAAACCAAATTCAACAGCACAATAAAAGGATTATACATCATGACCAAGGGGGATTTACTACTCGGTTGGAAGAATGTTTCAACATATGAAAATTAATCAATGCAATACATCACATTAACAAAATGAATGAAAAATATACATAATAATCTCTATAGATACAGAAAAAGAAATTGACCAAATTCCATATCCTTTCATGATAAAAAACATTCGACAAACTTGGAATAAAAGGAAGTTAGCTCAACATAATAAAGACCATATACGAGAATCCCACAATTAACATTATATTCAATGGTGAGAAACTGAAAGCTTTTCCTCTAAGATGAGGAACAAGGCAGGGAGGCCACTCTTACCACTTTTATATAACATAACATTTGTAGATCTAGCCATAGCAATTAACAAGAAAAAGAAATAAAAAGTGTTCATATTGGAAAGGAAGAAGTAAAATAATCTTTTTTCAGATAGCCTGATCGTGTATGTAGAAAACTCTAAGTTTACACACATAGACACACTCACATACAAACTATTAGAACTAATAAATGAATTCAGCAAAGTTGTAAAATATAAAATTAAGATGCAAAAATAAGTAGCATTTTTATATGCTAACAATGGACAAATCTGAAAAGAAGACTAAAAAAAAAAAAACCCATTTGCAATAGCACCAAAACAGTAAAGTACTCAGGAAAAAACTTAAACAAAGTGGAAAAAGATTTATATATTGAAAACTAGCAAACACTGCTGAAAGAAATTAAGGAAGAGAAATGAAAAGACATTTCTGTTCATGGATTGGGAAGCCTGTCATTGTTATGATTTTCAAACTATCCAAAGCAATACACAGATACAATGCAAGCCCTCTCAAAATCACTAAGGCATTTTTGGAAGAAGTAAAAAAATCTGTCCTATTTTTCTACAGCTTCACCAGCATCTGTTATTTCCTGACTTTTTAGTAATCGC